GAGCATTACCTTCCTCCAGTTACTGAATTGGAGAGTTTAAGGTACAGTTCTCCCATCTATTCCTTTTGGGGTTGAGCTGGTAGATAGCTTTCTCCTGCTTAAATATGAAAACGCTAATTCAGGCTATCAGGAGAAGCAGGTATTCCCATGTTATTCCTTAAAAACAATCAAACTTCAAAGCTTACATTACAGTTAGAATTCCCTGCCACTTTCAATCTAGAGTACCCACCTGCTTAATGCAAGGGCTTGTTTTATATCCTGATAATGTTAAAATAAAGAACTCCTCAGTAACCTACCCATGGTCTTAAAAAAATCCTTTCCTCACTTCTATTCACCAGATCCTGACAGATATTCAGTTGTCTCCAGAGGCACTAAAGAGAAAGGGGAAGAAAATCAACGATGAGTTCTTTCAAGCACCTCCCTGAGCAGAAGTCTTCCCCTGCTTCTGTAGATGTTTTTATGCTAATTTTGTCAAAATGTCTTCACAATAAATGTTTAATTATACACAAAAGACTGCATAATAGTGATTATCTAAAAGCTGTAAAGTCCAGCACACCAAAGACAGAAAGTACCAAAATTAAAGCTGTCTGTACAATTTTACATCAGCTTGCTGCTGTATGTGCATTATGAAACAGACAGGCAACCTTTAATTACATGATCACATGCTACTTTTCCCTCCAATTTTGGATGACCAGTTTGAGATACCTGATTTTTCAGAGTGCTTGGGTTTATGTAGCTATTGATAGAGGCACATATCTTGGTAATTTCAATTGTAGCTATGAATGCTACTGTAGATGGAAGTTCTCAAGCCAAGCACTCAAAGAGAGTGACACACAAGTAGTGACTATCCATGAAAAGGTTTGCTTTGAGAGATTTACCCAGCATTGCACAAACTCTATGGCAGAAGTAAGGATTGAATTTGCATCTTCGGGGTTACCTTCAGTTGGCTTCACCATAAGTCCATCATTTTCCTTTCTGCAGTTCCCTGCCTTCTTCAGAAAACCCCATCCAAATTCTGAAGCAAAACAAGCAACAGGACAAATGCTTTACAGACAAACCTTTTTCACTAAAGAACCCATATTAATCCCCAAAGTAGGCCCAACTTGTGCACTGAATGAGGCAGATTTCTCTTGAAAAAGGAAACGGCATGCCATCATTTAATTCTAGACTGAATCATAAGGTTCAGAAGGGTACAGGAAAACATTAATATTCTGGCATTTCCTAACTTTAGATGGTTTGATTGTTCAGCCTTAATAATGATGTTCTTTCACCAAAGTTGCAGGGGGGTATACACATACATATGCTACTGGCAAGGAACATTTGTATTTGCTGGCAGCAAAGGACTGATGAGACTTAAAAAGAAAAGTCCCATTTCATGCTCGCTCTCTCTTTCTCCCCCTGTGCCCTCCAAGTTTGACTGCTTCTAACCTGCCCCTCTAGCCTGTCTCCTCTTCATTCTAGATCTTTGCCCAAGTCTCGTGGTCCAACCAGTTTTAATCTCTGCCTACGTGTCAACTGCCTCTTTCTAATATCCCCCCTTGCCCAAGGCCAGTCTCCTGTATAAAACGGTATCTGAAAGGAAATACCAACAGTTCACATCTGCTGATGCTGTCAGATGACACTTCCTGATGTCTCTTCTGGATTTGGTGTTGGTAACACAAAGTGAAGGTCTGGACACCTGCAGAAATTTCTTCATCAGTTATCAAAGTTTCTCACCACCATCCAAGTTATTGACATGTGCATTCAACACAGCTAATTCCACCCACAGAGCTTATTTTGCAAAACAAGAAAATGCCATTCCTTGTGTGGAATACTTGGTTGAGGAGGCATGCTATGTTGTTGATTAAGCTTCAAGGTAAAGGGAACACCATAGCTGAGGGCAGATGATAACATTATTTCTGACTGAAAGCAAACACATTTTTCTTATGGTAGCTGTGTGGAGCTAGCAACATTTTTTACGTTAAATGAGAAAGAAAGGATAAGGGCTCACTGCATGCAGGCCCTTATTCAGCAACATACTTATGCACATGCCTAATTCTGAAATGCATAGGATTAGCCATGTGCCTAATGAGATTAATTGTGAGTTTAGAGTTAGGCATGTATGCCTTGCTGAATCTGGATCATAATTATGGCCAACTGCAGTGTAACACTCATCTTCCAAAGATCCCCACCATCAAGCAAGCAGCACTTGACCCATTACTGAAACACAATCACTTGGGTGTGAAGGGGACTAGACCTTAAAGAGCAAACAGCAAGAATATTATTAGTATTATTGTATGAGCCCCACCACATCACAGATCACAAATAAATGCCTTGTGCAACTGAAAAGACAAGGCAATTTTGGATGAGTGAACAATGTCATTTCCTAGGGTACCAGAGTTAACACTCCCATTCCTACAATGCAATTTTAATGATTAACAATTGCCACAACCTTGCTTTTTACATCATAGTACCTCTGGTATTGTACAGTGCTCCCAAACACCTTGAGAGCTGCTGTGGAAGATTGACCTACTCAGATAACTACCTACTCAGTTTCCTATTGCACTTACCGAGGCGCCTAGGCTTTCCTTGGGGTTTTCAGGACTAAATCTCAATGTCCTTATCACAATTTGAGCTGGTATATCTGCAGTATTGGCATTTCACAAAGGAGCCTCCTTCTTCTAGTAGCAGCAGCAACAACATTCTTGTTTAAAGACTGTCTTTTGATAATTTGGAAGCTGGAGGTGCTCCACTGTTGCTTAAGGGAATCTCTCAAGCTCTGAATACTTTTTCAAGTAGAAACTACCATAAAACATCTTTATGGCTGCCAACATTTTCTGAGACAATAGAGAAACCCTTTCTCAGTAAGACAGCAGTATGAGTCACCAGTTCAACATAGTTCAGGGGTGGGGGGCACGGTATGAATGAGGAGACTCAGAGGTTTCCTAAAATGACTGTACCTGGCTAGCAACAAAGAAAGAGTCAAGCAGACTCAAAAAAAGTATGTCTTTTTTTTCCTCCCCCATCTGCAATGTTTTCAGAGATTATGAAATAAATCATACTGCAGCTTTCTTGGCTCCTTTCCTTTCTCACGTATGGTAATTATTAGGTAAGTAAAATTACAAAACGTTGCCAATAAAGTTGTTTTGCGAGAGAAAGGAAATGAACCCAAACTGTTAAAACCTCACTGTAAAACTGCACAGCTCTTATTACATTTTCTTTCTCTTATGACACTTTCTTTTCAATTATCTATATTCACAGAGATAACAAACAGGTAGATCTAATGAGCATTTATTTACTGGCACATCTGCACTGAAATCAAGCAGGTATTTATTGACACCAGGGCACCATTTTAAGGATTTTGCTTTTTAAAGGAAGGTGGTGGATGGTTGTTACATTAAAGGTGCTGACAGAAGTGACATTTTGGCATGTGATTGCCCCCCTGAAGCACTCTACAGCCATGCCCCGACAGAAGTTCACAGCTGTAGAGTGCAGGAGCACAACAATCTGAACCCTCATTACCTCAAGGGGGTCCAATCCACCCACCCCACCTTCCAGTGCAGCCTGGGAAAAACCCTGGACCAAGCTCCCTCCTCTCCCCTCCCATCCTGAAAACAGCACCAGAGCTTGGGGCAGGGCCAGGGGAGAGAGGCTGCAGACATACAGCTGCTCCAAAGTGGAGCTCAATCCCCCAGACCCAACAGCAAGTGTCTGTTGGGGGGCAGGGAATTGCTGCAACTCCTGACATTTCCCGTGAAGCTCCATAAGCTACAGCAGAGAGCTGCACATTTGTCAGCACCCAAGACAAGCTGCATATTAAAAACACAGTAACATCAGAAGTTCATGCTCTGATAAAATATAGGGAATATGTGCCTGAAAACTGTTTGTTAGCATACCGTGATAGACTGACAGCAAGAAATGGGCTAGCGGCTTCCAAACTTCTACAGAGCACGCACCACCAATTTAAAATGATACAACCTTAAGTACTACCAGCAAATTTGTCATATAAAAGTAATTATAATAAATCTGTTAACGCATACCACTGGTGGTACCCATACCACAGATGGGGAACTGCTGGTAGATGTTCAAACTAGGTCAGCAGTCACAACTGGGGCCAGATGTTTCCAAGTGCTCAGTTCCCATTTCGGCAGTTTGGGTTGGGACTGCAATACTGTATTCTGTGAGAACGGTTCCAAGCACTACATATTACAGGAACACTTGTGAACAGAAGTATTTGTATCTATTCAAGGACAGGTATGGAGACAGTGGCATTTTTTTCCACAAATGCACTTAGCTACCACGTTTGTATATGCAACACCACCTTGTGTGCATGTGTTCTAAAAGTATTGGGAACTAGAGCTGTGCCAAACAGCACCGTTCCACTTTGACTTCCATTTCGACAGAACAGTTTTTCGTTTCGAGTCTTGTTTCATGTCAAAAGCGCTGTTCCATTTTGTTTTGTTGAAACTGTTTTGACGTTTTCCCATAGGCTATTCTGCACCCAGTGGCAGGAAGATTGGTGTTGCTGCTGGCCCCAGATGGCAGCAGCAGACTCCTATCATCCAGCAGGCAGATCAGGAACCCACACCCCTGGGAGGAGTCCAGCACAGCCTTGCAGCCCTCCCAGGGGTGCAGGTGAGCCCCCGATCTGCCTGCCGGATGACAAGAGGCTGGTGCTGCCGGCTGGGGCCAAAGCCAGCACCGATCTTCCCGGCACGGGCTGTGCCCGGCGCCAGTCCCAGCCAGCAGCACCAGCCTCCCATCATCCAGCAGGCAGATCAGAGACTTGCTCGTACCCCCAGGAGGGCTGTGAGGCTGTGCTGAACTCCTCCTGGGGGTGCAGGCCCCCCAATTTGCCTGCCGGATGACAGGAGGCTGCTAGTGCCAGCTGGGACCAGCGCTGGGCACAGCCCATGCTCAACGCTAGGAAGATTGGTGTTTCCACTCGCCCTAGACAACAGCACCAACCTCCTGTCATCTGGCAGGCAGATTGGGGGCTCGCCCGCACCCCCAGGAAGGCTGCGGGGTTGTGCCAGACTGCTCCCGGGGGTGTGGGCCCCCAATCTGCCTGCCGAATGACAGGAGGCTAGTTCTGCTGCCTGGGGCCAGCGGCAGGGCCCGGGGCAAATCAGCTTGTGCGGGGACCCGCCTCTGCCCCAGGATTGCACCAGAGCCGACCTCAGGATTACAGAGCTGACCCCAGGACCAGCACCAGAGCCAACCCGAGGAGGATGCATGGCCCAGGGCAAATCAGCTTGTGCAGGGAACCGTCCCCACTCCAATCCCAGAGTGGGGACAGGTCCCCACACAAGCTGATATGCCCCAGGCCCCGCCGCTGGCCCCAGGTGGCAGAACCAGCCTCGTGCCATCCAGCAGGCAGAGTAGGGGCCTGCACTCCCAGGAGCAGTCCAACACAACCCCTGCAGCCCTCCTGAGGGTGTGGGCAGGCCCCCCCGATCTGCCTGCCAGATGACAGGAGCCTGGTGCTGCTGGCTGGGGCCAGCGGCAGCACTGATCTTCCCGGCTCTGGGTGCAGGCTGTGCCCAGCATCATCCCAGGTGGCAGGAACAGCCTCCTGTGATCTGGCAGGCCGATCGGGGGGCCCCCCACACTTCTGGGAGGGCTGCGGGGTGGCCCTGATCTCGTGCTGGGAAGATCAGTGCTGCCACTGGCGCCAGCTGGCAGCACCAGCCTCCTGTCATGCAGCGGGCAGATCAGGGGCCCGCACCCCTGGGAGGAGTCTGGCACAGCCCCTTAGCCCTCCCGTGGGTGCGGGTGGGCCCCCAATCTGCCTGCCAGATGACAGGAGGCTGCTGCTGCTAGCTGGGACTGGCACTGAAGCCAAGTAAGCCTGACTTTGAAACGTTTCAAAACATTTTGAGTGCCCATTTTTCATTTTGAAGCTATTTCGAAGGCTTTTGTTTTGTTTTGATTTCGCTGTTTTGAGCTTGAAACAGGTTCAAAACGAAACACCAAGCAAAATTTCACATAGCCCTATTGGGAACATATAAGCTGTAAGCATACATTTTTAAAGAAAGATTACCTTTTGATTTTAGCTTTTGGCTTTAGCTTGGGTTTCTGTTGATACTTTTGCCATACCTAAAGGCACTCTTGGTTTCCCATCTGTGGCTCTTCTGTTAATAGCATGTGTCAGAATGCTTCTGTGCAACATGAATCATTGAAACCTCTTTGTTTTTAACAGAAAGGAGTGCACTCTAATTAGCTGTTCATACTTATCTCTTCTTTCTAGCATTCCCTCTAATGTAATATTTTTACGTCTGATCTTAGAGTGAGAGAGAGAGAGAGAAAGAAAGAATCAACATCAAGCATTTCAGTAGCCTCTCTAGGTAACTTGAAAAAACTCTAACCTGTCAGCTTGATCTGATACAAGCCCATGAAATATACAGCCATGAAGCTGTGAACAGAATAGCTATGTTAACAACACTATAACTTTCAGGCATAAATTATTAGGAACTGAGCCTAGAATATTCAAAGTATGTCTCTGGATATATCTTAAATTCAGATACAGCTCTTGAATACATGACTGCATGCACATATACCCCCCTTCCAGAGGCAAGAGGCAGGAACAAGTATGTACATATGATAAGATCTTTATTAAGTGTTACTTATTCTCTAATTCCTTTAAGTATTTCTCAATAATTGTGCTTTATTATATGGGTTTTAGGATGGAAAATCTTT